TATCTGCTAGATCAGACCATGTTTATGTCTGTATATACACACACTCTGATCTAGTAGATACATCCTGTGAATTTTTATAATAACAATAGAAGCATCAGTGTCTGAAAATGTGTGCATAAGATATTGGCCAGGTGTGGTGACTGCTGGTGGGAATGTAAATTAGTTCAGCCATTGTGGAAAGCAGTATGGTGATTCCTCAAAGAACTTAAATACCATTCAACCCAGCAACCCCATTATTTGGTATATACCCAAAGGAATATAGATTGTTCCACGATAAAGACACATGCACATACATGTTTATTGCAGCACTATTCACAATAGCGAAGACGTGGAATCAACCTAAATGTCCATCAACAGTAGACCGATTAAGAAAATATGGTAGGCATACACCATGGAGTACCGCGCAGCCACAGCCATGCCAAGGATGAAAACGTGGTAGGCATACACCATGGAATACAACCCAGACAAAAAAAGAATGAGATTGGAGCAACATGGATGCAGCTGGAGCCATTATCCTCAGCACACTAATGCGGGTACAGAAAACCAAATGAAACCACATATTCTCACTTGTAAGTGGGAGTTAGGCTGGGCGCGGCGGCTAACGCCTGTAACATAGTACTTTGAGAGGTCGAGGCGAGCGGATCACCTGAGGTCGGGAGTTGGAGACCAGCCTGACCAACATGGAGAAACCCCGTCTCTACTAAAAATACGAAATCAGGTGGGGGTGGTGGCGTATACCTGTAATCCCAGCTACTCGGGAGGCTGAGGCAGGAGAATAACTTGAAACTCGGGAGGCAGAGGTTGCGGTGAGCCAAGATGGCGCCACTGCACTCCAGCCTGGGCAACAAGAGTGAAACTCCGTCTACCAAAAAACAAACAACAAAAAAGTTAACACATGGATACAAACGGGGGAACAACAGACACTGGAGCCTACTTGAGAGTAAAAGGTGGGGGGAGGGAGAGGAGTGTACATGAAACCCCCATGACATGCAGTTTACCTATATAACAAACCTGCCCATGTACCCCTGAACCTAATATAAAAGTTAAAAAGAGTAGCTGTCTGCTATATTGTCCCCGAATACAATATCTCCATATTCCCAATCAGTTAATTACCCCCAGTCATCTGAACTCTTTCTGGCATGCTTTCTCCACCTGACACTTTCTTCATTCCAATCTATTTTTTTCTTTACAGATTTAATCAATACTGAATACATGGATATATCTTACGTCTTTTGCTTACCTTGTCACACTGTTACTTCCTTTTTCCCATCCCTTGGGCTTCCATGAGACACAGTTGCCTACCTAATTGTTTTTCCTATGGATATAAATTTTACTGGGAAAAAGCCAGAACATTTATTTAGGTATTACCTGTGGCTGCTGCTGTTGTGCGTGCGTGTATGTGTTCTGATGACTTCTTTTTTATTGTGGTGAAATACAAATAACGTAAAATTTGCCATACAACTATTTTTTAATTTAACTAGCAAAAAATTGTATATATCACGTACAATATGATTTTCTAAAATATCTAGACATCGTGGAATGCTTCAAGTTAATATATACATTATATGTTTATCATTTGGGGGTGAGGAAACTTAAAACCTACTCTCTTAGCAGTTTTCAAAATACAATACTGTTGTTAACCAAAGTCAGCATGTTGTACAATAGATCTCTTGAATTTATTCCTTCTATCTGAATGTAATTTAGTATCATTTGACCAACATCTCCCCAACCCTCCTCCTCCAAGCTCTATTATCCCCTGCTAACCATCATTTTACTCTCAATTCTATGAGCTCAACGTTTTAAAATTTCATATACGAGTGACATGATGTAATGTTTTTCTGTTCCTGGCTTATGTCATTTGATGTAACGTACTCTAGATTCATTAATGTTGTTGCAAATGACAGGATTCTCTGCTTTTTAAGGCTGAGTAGTATTGCAGTGTGTGTGTGTGTAGGTGTGTATACCTGCATTTTCTTTATCCTTTCATCTGCTGATGGACACTTAAGTCGATTCCCTATCTTGGCTATTTTGAGTAGCAATGCAATGTACACTGGAGTACAGTTATTTCTTTGACATATTGATTTCATTTCCTTTGGAATATATACCCAGCAGTGGAATTCCTGAATCATATGGTAGTTTTATTTGTAATTTTTTGAGAAGCCTCCATACTATTTTTCATAATGGCTACAATAATTTACATTTCCACCAACAGGGTGCAAAGATTCCTTTTTCTCCACATCTTGGCCACAACTTACTCTTTTGTCTTTTTGATAATAGCCATTCTAACAGTGTGAGATAATATTTCATTGTAGTTTTAATTTGCATTTCTCTGATGATTAGTGATGTTCAATATTATTTCATTTATGTGCTGGCCATTAGTTTGTTGTCTTTTGAGAACTGTATATTCAGGTACATTGCCCTAAATAGGGTTTGAGGTACTATTTTTTCTACTTTTTTAGTGTATAATTCAGTGGCTTTAAGTATATTTTCATTGTTGGGTAATCATCACCGCTTTCCATCTCTAGAATGTTTTCATCATCCCAAGTTGAACTCATACTCATTAAATGATAACTCCCCATTTTTCCCTCCCCTAGCCTTTAATAACTTCAATTTTTCTCTATGAATTTGACTTTTTTAGGTACCTCACATAAGTAGAATCATACAGTATTTGTCATTTTATGTCTTGCTTATTTCACTTGGCATATGTTTCCAAGGTTCATTTATGTTGTAGTTTGTATCAGAATTTCATTCCTTTTTAAGGCTGAAAATATTCCGTTGTATGTACATACCACATTTTGTTTATCCATTTATCTGTAGATGGACATCTGGGTGTTTTCACATTTTGCCTATTGCAAATAATGCTACTATGATCATTGGTCTACAAATATCTTAATCTCTAATTATTTGGTTGTAGAGATAGAGTTGCTAGAGCCTAATGGTAGATACTTTTTTATTATGTGACCTTTGTTGTGAACTTCTTGACATTAGGGATAGTACCTTGCTTCCCTTTATCAGGTCTGAGCCCAGTGCCTGAATATAGTGGAAATTGGACCTTATGAGACCGTTTATGGGGATAAGGAAATGGAGGAACTATCTTCCTGCGTACACAGTGACAAGTCTTATGACATTGGGTAGGGGTTACTGGAATATAAGTGCCTATTACTTAATCTAAGTCTCCCCAGAGTCAGGTCTATGGCAAGCCAAAACATACCTACAAGCTATGCTTCCCACAGTATGAGTGAGTCTGTTTCCTAAAAATTGCATATTTTCTGCTTAACTGCTTTAATCTTCAGTGGCATATCATCTGATTATAACTATCACTAGAATTAAGTTTCATGAAAGCAGAAGGTTTTTCCTTTTACATGCTCTTAGTACCTCATTGCCTGGCATATAGCCAAAAGATATTTGTTGAGTTAGTGAATCAGTGAATCAATAGATAAATTTATAGTGGCTTTTCCTTATGGAGGAATTTCTCTCTTCTATTGCCATGTGAGGAATCCCCAGATGAAATACAGACGATGATGCTTTCTTAGTCTTGATTAATCTCCCCTTTGATATAGTAACATCTTATAAAACGAAAGTATGATATCTTGACCAAGATGTCAACATTCATATAAACCACCAATAGTATTCAGATTTCCCCAGCTTTACTCATATTTATGTGTATGCATATGTGTGTATTTAGTTCTATGCAACGTTACGTGTGTAGATTTGTAATTCCACCATCAGAACAGTTCCACCATTACAAGGGTTCCCTCATACTGTCCTTTTACAAGGACATTCAGCTACCCCACATCTTACCCCCATTCCTGACCTCTGGTAACTGCTACTCTGTTCTCTATTTCTGTAACTTTGTCTTTTCAAGACTGTCATAGATACAGACTCATATAGTATGCTACCTCTTGAGAATGACTTTTTGCCCACTTAGAATAATGCCCATGAAATTCATCTAATTTGCTGCATGTATCAATAGTTTGTTCCTTTTCACTGATGGGTGTTATTCCATGGTGTGGCTGTACTATGGTTTGTTTACCTACCCTTGAGGGCATCTGGGTTCCCAGTTTGGGGCTATTACAAATAGAGGTAGTATGAACACTTAGGTGCAGGTTTTTGTGTGCACATGTTTTCATTTCCTTTAGATAAATGCCCAAGAGACCAATTATTAGATTGTATAATAAATACATGTTTAGTTTTGTGAGAAACTGCCAGACTGTTTTCCAAAGTGGTTATATAATTTGCATTTCCACTAGCAGGGGTTGAGTGATCCAGTTTCTCCACACCCTCACCAGCATGTTATGGCACCATTTTTTAATTTTAACCATTGTGATACATGCGCAGTGACAGATTATTGTGGTTTATAATTTGCATTCCTCTACTGGCTAACAACATTGAACATCTTCTCACATGCTTATTTTTCAGATGCTTGTGTTTAACCTTACTCCACCTAAACATTTGAATAGTGTGAAGGACAGGAGACATAGAGATTTGCCTTGATTAAGGCAAAACACTGCCAGATTTTCATTTCCAAACACAGTCCTAGACAGAGATAAGAGAGCTGGCAATTTGCTCCATTGTTTATTAGAGACCTAACATTCTTTCTAAAACAGAGGTATTTTAGTAAAATGCAGTCAGCCTTAATTATACTGGCACTCCTCGGAGATAGACGGAAGTACTGGTGAATTTTTCTGAGTTGTAATTCTATACTAGAAAGCATATCTTAATTTTAGACATCCTTTATGACATTTTGTTTGGAGATACTCCAGTCGGCCTCTCTAATCTGCAGTAATCTATTCATGCGCTAAAAGTAAATATATATGGGATGCTTGTTGTGGAAAGTGGTTTCTAATGCATTTTGTTTAATTTTTAGATTATTTTTAAAAAACTTTAATGCTGAGTCCCTGAAAATAGCTAAATGCAATTACCTTCACATTTTTATTATTGTTATTGCAACTAGGCATTTGGTTTCTTACCTTCAAATGTTTTCCCCTTCTCTTTAACAGGTTGATTTAGTGAATATTGGAAGTACTGACATCGTAGATGGAAATCATAAACTGACTCTTGGTTTGATTTGGAATATAATCCTCCACTGGCAGGTAAGAATCCTGATGAATGGTTTCCTTTTGGGTAACATGAATCTTGCTTTTTTTTTTTATTTCTGCCCTTGACCTGTGAAACAAATGTGTATTTCTAACAATAACAAACCCTTCTCCACAGTGTTACTTTTTAAATTGATACAACCATGTCATCTGAAATGTTAAGGATCATCATGGTGTAAAATAGGTTCTGGTACATTTACAGGAATATTTTTCAAAATTTTATTTCATTAAGTAGGCATAAGGTAAAATACAAAGTCCCAGTCATAGGTGAGTAATTTTTTTTCCCACAAATGTATATTCTATTACTTGTCTATAAGTGAGTTTATATAGCCTTGTAAAAAGAAAGGCATTTTTAAATTTTAATCACTATCAAAGGAATGGGGCTTTCTCAGTCTTGGGTATTCTTAACATAAATTATTGCCAATGAAAGATTAGTAGAATATGGGTATCTCTATCCATAAATGTGTTATACATACAAACTCCATAATTTGATTTGGAAATTATATTTTTAAGTCACATGAGCACAGGGTCTTCTGACTGTCTCTTTGGCCTCTGCAAAATGGATTGAAGGATTTGTGGAAAAGATACACATACCCATATATATATATATATATATATATATAGTATATATATGCATATATACAATATGCATGTGTATGCATATAATGAGTGTGTGTATATATATACACGCATATATACAATATACGTGTTTGTATATATACAGTCATATTCACACATATATGTATATATGACCAACATGAACTTATATTCACTAATATTCACTCATTGTATATATACACATAACTCATTTTACACAGATATATGTATACATATGTGTGTATATATATTTACCAACATGAACTTGAACATAAACTTCCACACTTAGCACCTTAGTGGCATTTGGTATATTGTCACCCCTGTTCTGGACCATGGTCCCTTCACTATCAAAAGAGTAAAAATAAAAATAAACGTGTATATATTTCTTATCACGATTAAGTGGGAGAATATCTGCAAGACACTCAGTGTAGTATACCACTTTTATTTGAGGTGTGTCATATGGCTTGTATTGATTGCTTGAAGTTTTCCACTCATTTAAAAAATTTGGAGGCTGAGAAATGACTGCTATTTTTACTGGTCAGGATTACTTTTTTATAAATCAGCTTTTTTGAAATGTAATTGTTATACCATCAACGCACCCATTCTAAGTGCAAAATTCAATTTGCATCAACCTGGTTTAGTTTTGATTCTTGGTAGCTTCTCAAACTATTTTGAGGGATCAATAGTACCCCCACCAACCCGCCAGTTCATTAAAATTTGTAGGACATTTACAGAGTAATATAGCCATCATAGCAATCTAATTTTGGCACTTTTCCATCACCCTAAAAAGAAGTTTCTTCTCCATTTACAGTCATTTTTCACTCCAACCGTAGCCCTAGGCAATTGTCAGTCTATTTCTGTCCATACATATTTGCCTTTTTGGATATTTTATATCAATATAATACTTGTTATTTTGTGTCTGACTACTTTCACTGAGCGTAATAGTTCAGGTCTAGCCCTATTATAGCAGCTGTCATGGCTTCATTTGGTAAACTTGAATTTTAACTTGAATTGTAGATTGCTCTTGCTCAGAGTCAGAGGATGAGTAGACACTAAGTGTACCTTCTCAATTCAGCAGCCATATTGCTCTCCTAATTGGCCCGCATATATTTTTATTCCAACTTCTCTGAACAGGCTTAATGCTATTTCACAACAGTAAGCGGGGAGGGGGGAAGAGAAAGAGCAGGAATTAATGTGTGCTGGCAACAAAGAATAGCTCATAGGAGCCTTAAGTGAGCCTAAGTGAGCCCAAGTTGGCCAATTTTCAGCCCGTTCCATATAGTGATGGTTCAAATAGAACCAGCGAGCAGCATACCCCACCTCTCCCCAAACTGCTTTTCATATGTTGTGCGGTATTTCTCGAAACATCTTGAGGAAGGAACACGTTTTTCCCCTAATGCATTGTGTGTAAGATACAATAAAACCAAAGCATTACAAAAAAAAAATACCTAAGCTTCCTCCTTTATTATTAAATGCAATAGACATGAATGGCACTCTAAAATCCCTACGTAAGTTTCTTGATGCATTCCCAATTGTTGACTTTATCTTATGACATAGTAACAAATAATTCTTAGAGTGAATCCAGTTTGCAGATCCCACTTTGCGTAACACAGACGTAAGTTTTGACAAAGTCAGCAGAACTCAAGCATGCACAGAGCTCCAAAAGCCACTTTGAATTGTACTTATCGTTTATACTATTTATCATACGATCTTACCATTTTTAAAAAATATCCTGAAGCCCTTTCCATCTGAACTAGTCTAAGATAAACTTTCAAGACTATTCTGTCTGATAATTTCTTCACTTGCTTGCAAGTTGTTCATTTTTTTTTTTTTAATAGCATGTGGAGGAGCTTTTACAATGAGGAATATCAGAAAGAATGCTTTTTCAATCTTTCTTTGTCTGAGACCTCTCTTGCAGCCTGTTGTTTTCCATTTATGCCCTTGAATCACCATATCCTTGAGATGGCAAGACTGTAGACTCTTCCCAGCCTCTGCTTACTTATCTCATCTCTCTCTTATATCACACTGCCATGTTCTAAAACTATTAAGCACACTTTGAAAAAATTATCTTGCTCAGTATTCTTCATCATAATTCAGTGAATCTAAAAATATACTTTTTACCAGCATTACATATTTTCCTTCCTATTAAATGGAGAAGCCCTTATATCTCAGCAAAGATTAAAGGGCATTCTGCTCAACTTAATGTACCTTCTAGATCTGTCAGATTAAGAGCAGCATATAGAGATAGAAAGATGTTGACCCCTTGTTCTAATGCCACATACTATGTTATTAATAGTGCCATAGAGGACTTCTCATTGAACTTGTGAAAACTCAGGAATGCAAACCCTGTTTTCCTTACTGTTTTTCCAGTGTCCATCTCAAATAAAATTGCTAGCCTAAAACAAGGCATATTTTGTAGCATAGGCAGCTTTGAACAAAATTGCAAAGCATATAACGTGTGTTTGGCATCTTTTTCTTCTTAAGTGCAATCCATTTTTTTCAGAGTGCTAATCTTGGCTCTGGCAACCAGCTGGTTATAAAAACAAATCTTGGCAACAGTGGCGAGCTATCAGAAGTCAGGTCCATACTTTTGCTGGATAATTCAAGGGATGTACTTAATGGCAGCGCTATTCACTTTAGAATCTTTGTATTATTGATACAATTTGCAATTATAGGAGAATGATGACGTTTGCACTGCTGAAAGCCATCCCTGTAAATTTCTGCCTACCAAGTCACTTCTGTGCAAGACAGTTCTTGCTCTGCTCTTCTGCAGAGCTTCACACAAACTATCCTTACCATATAAGATTATTCCTACCCTTCTTCACTTCTATTCCTCTGCTGCAACTTCTTTTAATCACAGTCTGGGTTCTGGGGAGTAGACTTTGGAGTTGAGTTTGGCAGGCAGCATGTTTATTAAGCCATGCCCTGGAAGAAGAAAAAAAACACACCTGTAGAAGGGCAGAGGTGACAGGAGTGGAAAGAAAGAACTACAGCTGTGATGTAAACTCTATAATACCCTTATTCAACCCCATGGACAACTTGCAGCTAGGATGACCCTTCAGAGTTGTCTCAAGTGGAGTTAAAATGGCGGAGTGTTTATACTATGCCCCTTCATCAGTCAATAGATGTGAGTTGCCCTGGAAAGGGTGTGACATTGGCTGACTGGACTCGGCAAGTCAGGTGGTACCTGAGAGAACTAACAAGAAGCTGCCTGACCACAGCTGGAGCAACAAGCCCTTCCTTTGAAGATCAATCTTGGCGGTGCATCTCCATGTCCATCATGCCTTCTTGGCCCAGTTAACTCCTAGTCATTTTTAAAAATCACTGCTCAAAGACATTTCAACTTTTTTCCTTTTAAAAAATGGATTTATAGTTGTATGCACGGGCACACACACAAATACATTTGTTTAAATTGAGCCTCTTTTAGAGACCTGAGGACAGGACAATTTTGTTTACAGGCTCACCTTTGGGACCAGCTCAATGATTTTTTGATAACTGCCTTTTGTGTAGGAAAAGGAGACATGATTATCATACATTGCCCTTGATTACATTTTTTTCTGCGCAACATTTGCACCTAAGTAGAAGCAATAACAACGAGGCTGAGGCTGATAAGCTGAATTAGTGACATAATGATACTAAAGGAGTTTTGGATTGTATACTTGTTTGTCCTTCAACATTATGCACATAGAGGGCAGACTGGCCAAGCATTTCACAAATGAATCGCATTCATCATTGGAGGATTGCTTGATTATTGCAAATCCATTACCACCATTAAGCCACGATCTGCTGATTCCAGTCCTAATTTAGCACGGAATACAAAATACACCTCCTGCAGTCACTGTACATAAAGGTTTGCAATTTATAATTTTAGAATATGAGACAAATTACATAGTTGACCTGTATTCACTGAGTAACTGACTAAATAAGTAGGTCAAGAAGGAATTAGGAAAACTGGATAATCTACTCCTAAATAATAGACTTAGTTATCAAGGGATTGTGACAAATATATGCGAAGTTTTCCTATCTCCAAATCATTACTATGTTTACAAAGCATCATCTCAAATCTTTTAAAAGTATGTTAAAATGAGATTTAGTAGTATATCCTAAAATTTGCATTTACTTTTTAATAAAAAGATGGCTAACATTGGAGATGTTAAAATATACATTTACCCCAAAGGCATTTGTTAACTTCTATATGGATGAAAAAGTAAAATTATCATATTTAGAATGCACAATAAATATTCATCATCTGATCAAATGTTGATAGTATATGAACCTTAACCTTCCCAGAAGGAAAGTGCTTAGTGGTACAGACTAATGAGTTTTACATAGATGTCTTCTTCCAGCATCTCATAAGGGGCTTATATTTAAAAAGTAGTCTTTAATACATAATAAATAATTCTTTAATAAAAGACATCATTTTTTCTATGAGGTGTCACTGCATTCATGAAACTTAGAAAAAATGCTTAGAATGGATTTCTGCGTCAGATGACTCAGAAGAATGAAATTTGATAATCTGCTGAATAACATCTGTACATACATGAAGCCTATGAGAGAATCAAATACATGGAAACCAATTAATGAAAATAGAACCAAGGCTACACATGTACAGCTCTTAGGGATAAATATTTCTTTCCTTTGTTGCTTTTTTCTTTATTTTAGGCAGACAAACATTTCTGTCTTCTTTTCAGTTCAGCCAGTAAACATAACTCGAGTTAAATGATGGTATGAAATTAGGGGCTTTATTTGACCGTATTTTGTACTTTGATCTTATACTAACCTTGCATATAAGATACACAGAAATGCCTAGAAAAGGTTAAGCAACTTGTCCAATTACCACAATTAATAACAAAGGCAAAATATGAACACATACTTTAAAAAATGATTATGCTATCCAAAAAGCACTTTTATATCTTCAGTGCTTGGTTAACAGTAAGTTTAATGTTTTTATACACTGTCTTCTCTAGCTTGTTCATTGAAAACTAGAAGGTGAGCAATTCTATAAACAGTAAATGCTCAGTCTAATATGGCAGAATCCAGGAGTAATAATGAACACATTCAGTAAATGGTATGGCATAGACACCAAGGAATCAGAATAGACTCCTCACCTTTTAGAATAGACTTACTTCGGGTAGAATCTCTTATGTTTTATTACTAATTGGCCCTAAAATTTCTATTAAATTTGCATGGTTCTTGCTCAAGGAATTTGTTTCCTTATGAAAATTTATTTCCACATGTAGGTAAAAAATGTAATGAAAAATATCATGGCTGGATTGCAACAAACCAACAGTGAAAAGATTCTCCTGAGCTGGGTCCGACAATCAACTCGTAATTATCCACAGGTTAATGTAATCAACTTCACCACCAGCTGGTCTGATGGCCTGGCTTTGAATGCTCTCATCCATAGTCATAGGTAAGAAGATTACTGAGACATTAAATAACTTTTAAAAGTGGTGATTTAGACTCTGATGACATGTTTTTCCCCAGTACGGTTCCAGATCATGTCCTACTTTACAACATGTTATGTACGTTGACCACATTGATCTAACATTCCATCGGAATGAACTAGTTAAGAATATTTTCCTGTGTTTTATGTGATACGTATAATTTAGTTGTTGAAATATTAACATTAATGGAGCATGAAATTGGTTATGTTAGAGGCTTTGACATTGGGACTCCCAGAAAATGCAGGTTGTATTCTAACTTTGCTGAGAACGGGGTTAGTCTTTTTATACAGATAATGTGTTTGTGTAAGCCTAAACTATACAGCTAAAAATGGTTCTAGATCTCATGTGAGTAGTTGTAGTTAAATTAATTACCATCATCAGATAAATAGTGTGGAGAAAGAAACATCTGTCTTATCAGATACACACACAGATATCAAACACCATAAAGTCCTGTATACTTTGTTCTAGTTCAGGGTCATAAGACGCTCAGAACATTTTAGCAACCAAGACAAAGAGCAGAACACAATTAATTCTACGATGTAGTGTTCAGAATACCAAAAGAAACAATTGCTCTGGAACAGCAAATCAATTGCTATAAAGCAAGAGAGCTTTTGTGGATCCTAATAAAAAGAACTCACTGTAATACAGTGAACCAAAGTCCTTAACTATATTCCGTACAACATTGTATTTCTTTTTCTTGAGATGAAAAACAAGTTTTTTTTTTTTTGCTTTTCTTGTGTAAAGCTCAGTAAATGAATTAATAGTTCAAGAAAAAGCAAAGCAGTTTAGGAAATACATATGTATATGTATACATACACTTATAGATACGATATATATACCATATATACTACACCATTTAGACTCTATGTATATATGTGTGTATATATGTGTATATATACATGTGTGTGTGCGTATTAGAGAGAGGGACTATAGTTACTCTATTTTGGTCTTCCTGTTACCCATTTCATTTACCCAACCCAGGGCTAAATGCATTGACTAATTAACTGTGTTTAAAATGACACTGGACTGCATCTTGCCTAATTTTCAGTGCAAGTTATGTTTTTTCACTTTGATTTTTTTTTTTTTTTGACGACTCTACAACTTTCCTATGCCAATCCTGCTTCTAGAAAAGCTCAGAATATGAATTTTCTCTCTGGTAAAGCTCAGTCCAAGAGCAAACACACTTCAAATAAGCATCTTTGCCAGGTGTCTTGCTCCAGCTGGATTTAATTAACCCCATCCAGATTGGGTTTCCAGGTGAATTACTCAGCAACCTGATTTTAGAAAAGAGGCAGACATGCATTCAAATGTCATGTTAAGCAATGTTACCACATTGTTTACTGTATGACAGAAGAAAAATTTTCCACAGCTTCAATACAGTTAGATGAGAGGGGATAGAGACATTCGGTCTGTGTTTTAAGTCAGTGCTCATTTATGCAGCCACTTGCTTCACACTAAGGGCCTGAAAATATTGATTTTGCTGTTCATGTACACATTTGCAGATGAGCAAAAATATCAAGGATCAGGCTATATGGTCCTTGTTGGCTCTCTAACATTTTCCCTTCAAGTGGAAGACTTCAATCCTGCAAACATGTTCACACTCTATATTTGTTAATATTCTATTTCATGATTTCTGAATACATTTGTAGGTAATACAGTAAACATACCCAGATTGCCCTGCTTTATCTGTCCCTGACCCACTCTTTCTCTGTCAAAATATCCTTATTTATATATTCTCTCCTGTCATACTGGATGAATCATCAGTAACTCTTTATGCATTACATGGTTACTTTTCAAGAGGTTCTTCACGGTTGTTTAATGCTCTTTCATGAATCATCTCCCCCTTCTTTTTGTGTTTGACAGATGTTCATATGCTTTAAAGAAAAAAAAATGCTTGAACTTTCCGTTCCAAAGAGATTGTCATTGGCATACTTAGGAATGTCATGAGGTGCCCTGATTTCAATAATTGAGTGGCTCAACTATATAGAACAAAGACGTGGAGTTAATATAGAGCATAAGGATTGACTCAGGGTCATGGAAGTTAAAAGTTGTGTGATAAAACGCAAAGTCCACTACATTACCCTTCAAGGGAAGCCAGATTTCTACTTTTTGTGTTAAAACCCAATGATAATTGATTAGAAATATGTACAAGATGCAGATAAAATTACAATAACTCTAAAGTTTCAATTATCTTCCTAAATCCTTATTTTAGTGTATTACCACAGCAAATTAAAAGAATGGACACTAGAGTCAGGAGTGAAGGGAAAACAGAAACACAGTGTATCTTCATGACCCCAACCCTACTTTATCACATTTCAATTCTTAGATGCAGTCAGTGTCAGCTACTTGTACTTTGGTTCCTGATGGTTATAATAATGTGTATGATAATGTTTCTACTTCTTGACAAACTAATTTCTAACAGTATAGGTATTTACTCCATAGTATGAAGCCCAGCCATATTACCTTTCATCCCCAGGTATTTCCTAATTTGATTACTTATAATCGTTTTATTCTTGTAATTTTTGCTTTTATTACATTAAATGGTATGAGTATACCTCTTTTTAAATTTTTACCAAGCTTAGAAAGCACCTTTTGACCAATATGAAAAGTGAGAAAATCATCACACATACTTACTCTCGCCTCTTCTCCACCTCCCATTTTGAATTATACTATGTTTGCATCAGTAGTGTTTGTAACATTTATATCTGTTCTGTAAAGATAGGTGTTTTTGGCTTGAGTCTGCAAATTGAAAATACATCACTGTTGTTATATAAATATAATTAACATTACAGCAAAGTAATAGAAACGAATGTTTGTAAACAATTATGATTTTGTAGACACCGTTCTAGGTAAAATATTCCATCAAGTTCCATGACATAGATGCTATCATTTTACCCATCTCACAAATAGATAAACTGAGTCATAGAGAGGTTATGTAATTTACCTAAAACTATTTGGCTAGTATGTGGTAGAACTAGGATTTAAATTTTACTATCCTAATCATGGTGTTGATTTTATTAAAAATCTGGTAATCCTTGGTTGCAAGTTCATAAATTATGGTCCAGGGTTAACATTAAATGCTGTGTGACTTTCCTCCATAGTTGGTTATTTTTACAGTTTTTACGCATTTGAAAATCATAGATATTTATAATGTTAATTAATTTTAATGGTATAAAACAATTCATTTTTAATGCTAGATGTGACCTCAAAGGCCATTTTGTGCAATGCTGCTTTTTTGAATGAAAATGCCAAAGCTCAAATAAATTACCTGACTTAGATGAGATATCCACACACTCAGGTGGTTAGTTAGTGGCCAAGGAAAAGGGGAAGACAAGGGAAAACAACAAGAATACATAAGCAATGCTCTTTTTGCTCATCATACTCATTTCAACCTTGTATATTATGTTGCAGATGAGAAAACTAGTTTCTCATATGTTCCCACCTGTGTTCTTTTTCTACTCCCATTGCCTACAGAAAAAATGAAGATAAGGCAGAAGGGTGCATGGTGAACTTAAAAGTCCCCTAGTCTACAATTTTTAAATTTTTAATATTTTTTTCATAAGGCATTTTACAATTTACAAATATGCTAGTTTCCATAAGCTTGTTAGCTGTTTGGGGTATTTTGGAATATATGGAGGGATTCGATTTCCTAATAAGTGTACAAAATTTTGGTGTATTAACCAGAGTAGAAGCAATTAAAGAAGAAACAAATCTGTACATTTATTTACGTTTTTATTTTATTATTATTTTTTTTTTTTGAGACAGAGTCTCACTCTGTTGCACAGGCTAGAGTGCAGTGGGCCAATCTTGGCTCACTGCAACCGCCGCTTCCCGGGTTCAAGCGATTCTACTGCCTCAGCCTCCTGAGTAGCTGGGACTACAGGCACTAGCCACCATGCCTGGCTAATTTTTGTATTTTTAGTAGAGTCGGAGTTTTACCACGTTGTCTAGGCTGGTCTCGAAATCCTGGCCTCAGGTGACCCGCCTGCCTTGGCCTCCCAAAGGAGGGATTACAGGCGTGAGCCACCAAGCCTGGCCAAATTTGAATTACAGTTTTAGAAAATGACAGCTAACCTATCCTTGTAACTGTTTTTTTTTTTTTTTTTTTTTGGCAAAGCAAGAGCTCTTAAACAGGAGTCCATTAACAGATTCAAATATCCTAAAATCGTATATAGATTCTATTAACAGATATGGGGACTTATTTGTAGGAGTAGAAGTTTCATAGCTCTCAGCAGATTCTCAAAGGTGTCTGTGATTCAGAAAAGGTGAAGAACCACTTTACTAATGATTTCCAGTGCTGTTGGGATAAATTGTAATTCGTTAATAGCCAAGACCTTATGCAAACTCAACCAGTTTCGGTCTCTCAAACTTATCTCCCACCACTTCATACTTAGAATCTTCCAATGGAGCCAGGCCTGTGAGGTCTTGATTATCTGAGCATGTCTTGCTTTTTTCCTTCACTAAGAACTTCAATTCTCTAATACTCACACAAGTTAGAATTCTGTTATCAATATATTTTTAATGCAAGCCCAAATGTCTATTTAATCCGCCTTTCAGCCTCAGAAAACTTTTTTGACCTCTTCAGATTTTACAAAACATTTTCTTATTATCTGTGATTTTTCACATTTAGAGTTTAATTAATTAATATGACTTCTTCATTTTCCTTGCTCATTAAATTTAAAATCCTTACGAGACAAGAACTGCCTCTTACACTCCTTTGCGTTTTCTCTATTATCAAGTAACATGGTATGTATGTTGTATGTGCTCATCCATTCTCTCGTGTAGTTGATAAATATTTGTTGAGCCTTTATTATGTGTCAGGCTGGGTTTCCAGCAGTGAACCAAACAGGCAATAAAAGATTGTACATTCTAGTGGAAAAGAAAGATACAGAGATAAGTTTAATTAAATTATATAATATGTTAAATAGTGTTAATGAGAACAGTATAAAGCAGATAAGGAGAAAGAAAATAAGTGTATGTGAGTTTGATGTGAGGCATGCAATTTTCTTTTTCATTTATATATTTAGGAGACTGAGTTTTGCTGTCACCCAGGCTGGAGTGCAGTGGCACAATCATGGCTCACTACAGCCACCCAGGCTCAAGTGATTCTCCAACCTCAGTCTCCTGAGTAGCTGGGACCACAGGGGCATGCCAGCACACTTGACTACTTGTTTTTTTTAAAGTCATAGAGACCAGGTCTCACTATGTGGTTCAGGCTGGTCTCTAACTCCTGGCCTCAAGCAAATACTTCAGCCTCAGCCTCCCAAAGTGCTTGATTTACAGGTGTGAGCCAAGGCGCCTGGCTAGGATACAATTTTAGATAGGGCTTGGGCAGGGAAGAATTTTCCAGTGATGTGATTTTCGTGTAAAGACCCAATGGAAGTAAAGTAATGAGCCACGTTGATGTCTTCGAAAAGTGAATACAAATCCAAATGCAGAAAACTATGGATCCTGTTTATGGAATATGAGGAAGGAGACAAGAAATAAAATCAGGGAGTTAATAGGGACCTGGACCCTGTTCGAGTTAGTAGATCACATGAAATATGTAATTTTCACTTCCCCTAAAGTAGAGATTTGAGAAGACGGATATGATGAAACATGTTAACAGATCACTCTGGCAAGTCTGCTGTGCGCTGATTAACACAGGCAAGAGTGAGAGAAGAGGGAACAGTTATGAGGCTATTGTGATAATTCATGCAAGATAAAATGGATTTTGGACTAGAGGGATGGCAGTGAGGATAGTCAGAAGCAGTCAATTTCTGAATACATTTTGAATTAAATGTTGTGTGAGAGTAAAATAGTCATTAAGGATGACTCCAAGGGTTTTCATCTGAGTAACTGCAATTTTAAGCATGTTGTTCATTATTGAGGAAGAGAGAACAGCAAGAAAAATAGATAGGTTTGGGGGAGTGTGATGAGGATAAATATCAGAAGCTCCGTCCAGGACACTTGAAGCTTGTGATGACTAAATGGAGATAATGAGTATGCAGAAGAATCTATAATTTTGAGTTTAGGGAGGAGGTCTGGGTTAGAGATATAAAATTGGGCATTACCAGTAAATGACTGGTATTGAAATCCATGAGACTGGATGAGACAGGGTCTCACTCTGTTGCCCAGGCTAGAGTGCAGTGGCACGATTATGGTTCACTGCACCCTCAATCTTCCTGAGCTCAGGTGATCCTCCCACCTCAACCTCCTGAGTAGCTGGAACTTCTAGGCATGTGACACCACATCCAGCTAGTTTTTCTTTTCTTTCTTTTTTTTTTTTTTTTTTTTTTTTTTGGCAAAGCAAGA